ATATATATTATATATATATATATAATATATATATACAGTTAATGGCGTAAATGCTCTATTGTGTATTTATATCAAATAGCTGAATGAATGAACACATAAGAGTTTAGTAGAAGCTAAAATGACTTCATGCTGGGACTAAGAAAGACAAAAATTGCCACTCAGTTGCTGTGATTCTGGTATCCTCAAAGAGTTTAGAGCAGAGGTTAGTAAGATGCACCAGAGCCCAGTTAGTACCATTTCTACCTCTTTACCTTATTTTTTTTAAGTTACTGTAGTAAGCCTACAAAGTGAGTAGAATTTGATGATACAATTTCAACTGCTGCATACAATTTCATTGTTTCTGCCACTGTCCCTGTTTCAGTCTTTGTTGGTATATATTATGTAGAGACCATTTAGAACATGGATAATTGGAATGATCTGTGGTATTAAGTAATATCTATGAAAGCAGCCATTAGGAAGAACTACAGCAATGTGCAGTTGGCTTCTACTGAAGTAAATTAAGCTTCTAAACCCACATTCTATTTCAGGGAGGCCTGATAATGAGAATTTATGGTGTGAATTTTTTTTAACTTTAATTATGTTAAATAAAAACATGACCTGTGTTTTCAGGTTCGCCGTGTCTCCTTTGCAGATCCAATTTACCAAGCAGGATTGGCAGATGACATTGATAGGCGATGCTCTATCGTTAGATCCCATTCTTCAAATAATTCTCCCACAGTAAAAAGTGTTAAAACTTCACTTACACAATCTAAGGTAAGCTGTAGGCTTTGAAATATGCATATATGTATGCAGGCATAGGAATGAGTTAAGTATAATTTGTCTTAAAAATAGTAAAGAACAAAACGTCTTTGGTTTGGATGTATTGTTTTGTCTGTGACATGGTAAGCAAACACGAAGAATGGGAAGAGACAGTAAGACAGCAAGTAATTGATTAGGTAATAGTCAATTACATTTTTTCATTTTCTCAAAATTTTAGGAAATTACTGCAATCTAAGTAATGAAATTATAAAATTAGAGTTTCTAGGGTTCTGAGTTTTTTTTTTCTCTTCTTTCTTCTGTCTAGCATAATGCCACTTCAACCAAAGGATTTCTGTCCTCAGGATCACGTAGCCCTAAATTTAAGAGCTCAAAGAAGTGTTTAGTAAGAAGTGCTTTAGTTTTCATGCAACTTTATTTTTCATGTTCAGTCAGGTGACCTCTGTTTAACGGCTTTTGAAATTTATTCTAAGATTACAGAAATGGCTAAAGAACCTGTGCCATGTCCAGCAGAAAGTGTTTACCCAGCTTTGGTGAACTGTGTGGCTCCAGTTGATATCATTTTACCTCAGATTACATCAAATATATGGTAAGGAGTTATTTATACTGGTCTAATACTTCAAGATGCCACTTGTTTAAGAGGAAAAGTTAAATGAGGTTCTCCTATTTAGAACTGATTTACATGCACTTTCACACATTTTATTTTAAAAATAAAAATTTATCTGGGAAGATGAGGCAGATAGGGCAATAAGAGAAGCATCTATCATAATTAAGTAATGGCTAAGATAATTGTGCTCAATATTTGCCAGGTGCTATGCTGAACTTTTTGCATATGTTCTTATTTAATCCTAATTATAAATCCCATAAGGAGTATATTTATTATTTTCCACTTTATAAGATGAAGTTTACAAAAGTTAATCAACCAAAGTCAGGTAGCCATTAAATCATAATGTAGGTGAAATCTGACTGACACACATTGGGTTTAGTCTCTGTCCACTGCTATTGCTTAAGCTGGACAAACATGTCAAATTCAAATTTTGTTTTTTTTTTTTCAACGTTTATTTATTTTTGGGACAGAGAGAGACAGAGCATGAACAGGGGAGGGGCAGAGAGAGGGAGACATAGAATCGGAAACAGGCTCCAGGCTCCGAGCCATCAGCCCAGAGCCTGACGCGGGGCTCGAACTCACGGACCGCTAGATCGTGACCTGGCTGAAGTCGGACGCTTAACCGACTGCGCCACCCAGGCGCCCCTCAAATTTTGTTTTAACTTAAATGTACATGGGGCTATCCTCAGAGTGGGTTAAGTGTGCCTGTATAAATGCAGTTATGATTGAGCATAAGTCAGGAAATTCAACTGGATAGGCCATCACAAATAGAATAACTATAGAGTTGCCTGGGTGGCTTAGTCAGTTAAGTGTCTGACTTTGGCTTATGTCACGATCTCAAGGTTCTTGGGTTAGAGCCCCACATCAGGCTCTGTGCTGACAGCTCAGAGCCTGGAGCCTACTTCAGCTTCTGTGTGTGTGTGTGTGTGTGTCTCTCTCTCTCTCTCTCTCTCACTGCCCCTTCCCCACTTGAGCTCTGTCTCTCAAAAATAAACAAACTTTGGGGCGCCTGGGTGGCTCAGTCTGTTAAGCATCCGACTTCAGCTCAGGTCATGATCTCATGGTTCATGAGGTCAAGCTTTGCATTGGGCTCTGCACTAACAATGCAGAGCCTTCTTGGGATTCTCTCTCCCTCTGTCTCTTCCCCTTCCCCCACTCGTGCTCTTTCAAAATAAATAAGTAAACTTTAAAAGATAAGTAAACATTAAAAAATAGCTATAAAACTATATGATGACATTTCTCCTTTTTCTCTTACCTCTTTAGGGCAAGAGGACTGGGACAGCTCATTAGAGCTAAGAATATAAAAACAATTGGTGATTTGAGTACTCTTACAGCATCTGAAATAAAAACTCTTCCTATCCGTTCTCCAAAAGTGTCCAATGTAAAAAAGGCTCTCAGAATTTATCATGAGCAACAGGTAAACTTCAATGTTAATAAATCATGTATAGATAAATGATTTAGCAATACAATTACAGAAGTTTGTACTGTTGCTTAAAAACTCATTTTATGCCACCTCCCCTC